ATTTAAAGATGAGCATGAATATGAAAGTGATAGTCATTGACTCCCTTGCTTGGTATTATTGAAATTTGAACTAAAAATCGAGTTGAATGTTGATGCTCCTTGTGTTATCTGTGTGGGGAAGAATGTACATGAGCTCTGTTTTTTTTAGCTTTCTTTTACTTGAGGACAAGCAAGAATTTAAGTTTGGGGGTATTTGGTGAGTTTAATTTTTATATGCATTTATCTACCCTTTTTGAGCCTAGAATTAAATTTTATGGGTCTTTTGTAACTTAGTTTCACCTTTGTTTATATTAAATTCATTATTTTTGAGTGAAAATTAAGATAGGAATTAATTTTGCAATAAGTGACGATTTGCACATGCTGCAATAATTTAACCATATCTTTTTCTCTAGATATCAGATTGAGTTGATTCTTTAGGCGTTGCAAAGCTAAGAAGCAGAGTTACAATTGATGTTTAATGAGCTCAACCCAGTTCCTTCTGTATCAATACAAAATTTAAGTTGAAGTTGATGGTTTTGACAATGGACAAAGTGCATAAATAAAGAGAATTGGGCTATGTTTTCTAGGTGTGGGCCAACTGTAGTCCAAACCCAAAACAAAGCCCAATTCCCATGTCTTCTAAGGTTAAGAGAAATAAGGGTTTCTAATTTCTGAAGATATATATGCAAGGAGCCCCATAGACGCAAGAAGGAGTTGTTCTGCGCAAGAGGTCAAGAGCACCCAGCCACCCGCATTTGTTGTTCACCAGCAGCAGAAGAGGACACCAACACACAATACCCAATCATTTCGCATCTGAACAAGGAGAAGAAGACCCGAAAATCTGTTCACCAGCAGAAAGGAGAATGCCCACCCAGATCTGTTCATGAAAGAGCCAACGCCGCCGACAGCCTCTGTTCTTCTCAACCAGCTTTGTTAGGGAGGGATAGCAGCACAAGTTTGGCTTGTTCTTCATTGGACGGGTGTTGTTGATTCTTAATTTGAATTTTTTATCATGATTGTCTGCTGGAATTACCAAATTATGGCTGATGTTGACAATATAATCATGCATAGCTAAATTTCTTTGAACTAGAGATGGATGGATTTTAATTTTTGGAATATGTGAATGTTTTTGTTAGTTTAATTCAAGATTTATTGGTTATTTACATGAGGAGTTTATATTATTGAGTTTAATGCATTGAGAGCCTGATCACCTTTCAATTAATCTAGTGATTTATGCATGAACTTGAGAAAGAATTGCGTAGATTAGACCAATAATAATATAAACCGTGTGCTAGGGTATGAGACCGAGAGGTAATTAGCTCACATGTGGTAGTGGAGGAAGAGAAGAGAGTTAGTAGCTCCCCCTTCTTAAGCTAGAGGTTTCCATAGAATTTAATGCTCATTAGTTTGTTTAAAATTACATAAAGTTATGATTAATTTAACAAACAAGTGAAGGATTAACTTAACTTGAGAAAACTAGTTAATTAATTTAAGGAAATCCGCCATCTCATGCAATAACACTATTATTTGAGCTTGAATTAAATTAATAAAACAGTTGCATAATTCAAAATTAAATGAAATCCAAACCCTAGTTCCTTCTCATTCATAGTTTCTTTAATTTAGAAAAATTTTTAGTTTAATTTCCTTAGTTTACTTAGCTTTCTTTTAAATAGTTTAGTTTTCCCCATTAATTGGTTAATTCAACTTAGGTTAGATTAATAGTGTCTTGGTAGTGTAGGATAGTCCTCGAGGGAACGATATCTTACTCATCTTATACTGCATAATCGATTAGGTTCACTTGCATAAAAATAGTGCGTATTTGATGCATCACCCTCTTATCCAGCTTTTATGAGATCTGCCTATGACAAAAGTAAGCCTGTCACTGCTCAAGAGCACATTTCATTTCTGCTTACTTTAATCTGCAAATATATGGTTTGTTCTACTAGTAAAGGGCCTACTAAAGAATTTATCCCATTAGCTATTGCTTTAGCACATGGTAGACAATTAGCTCTGGGTCATTTTTTGCTTGCTTATTTATATAGGAGTTGCCAAGATGTCACAGCTCATCCCTTAGGCATTAGTGGTGGGCCACTTTGGATTCTGTAGTTGTGGCTTTACTCTTATTTTCCAACACTTGCTCCTGTTTCATCTACTGTACTAGCTCGAAATCTGCTCACTTACGACTTTATTTTCAAAAATGTCACGAAGAACAAGAGAAGTTTCGAGGAGTGCTTCAGATTTTTTGTGTCTTTTTCTGTTGACAGATTTGATGCAGATTTTGCAATGTTTCTAAGCAGATCTCATGGCCCTTCATGGTACAAGGCCGATGTTAAATCTTCAGACTTTAGAGCATTTTGGTCTGTTTGTGTGACCTCCCGGGATTTGTTTGTTGGTTGTAGTTTGAATACTCTCAATTCCAAATGTGGCGTAGAGCTTTAGGCACTGAACCAATTCTGTCGGCAACTTGGATACTGCCAAGACATATCATTCCCACCACTGTTCTCCTTTAACCACAACTATACTCTTCAATTTATGATTGGGGAATCAAACATTTTGATCGCCAAGCTTGCTGAAATCACAAAAACTTTGCAGACAATGATCTTGCTAGATCCTCCATTCCGACCGAGTTGTACTCCCTCTTATAAAAGTTGGTGGCAAGACTATTTCCATCCTTGGTTCCTCGGTGTTCTGGACAATATTTCTGCTCTGGCTCCTCTATCACTCACCAAAAAATTTGAAGAAAAGGATGTTGCAGAGGAAGGTGGTGACCTGGAATCTGCCGTGGTTGTCTAGATCAGCAAGCCAGATCTGCCAAGGAGAGCTCTTAGAACTCAAGTCAAGAGGAAAATTGCCACTCCTGCAAATTCCACGGAGGAGAATACTCCCTTCAAGCAGCGAAGAACCGGAAGTAAGTCTGCTTTGGCTTGCAACTTTGTGACATGTTCTCTGCTAACATTTTTTTTTTTTAGAGGTATCAAGAGGCCAGCAGTGAAACCATCTGCAGCCAAGAAACTCATCAAGTCTGCCCCTCCATCAGAGTCCACTTCTGCCACGGAAACCCGGACTCAACCTAATAAAACAGAAGATGTTCCTCTCGAACCTGTTGCCACAGCAGATCCTATTGAAGATATATCTGCTGGAAGTGGTGAAAGCAATTCTTGCTCCTCTCATACAAAATCTGGTGATGGTTCTTCACCAGCCACAAAGGTTAGGGGTTCTAGATTCTCTTCACGCATAGCGAACAAAAGCTTTAAAATAGTTAGACCGAATGAACTTATCGATCTAAGCCCAGAAAAAGAGAATACCCCTACACCTATAGCCTCTCCTGTTAGCCAGGTTGATGTTGATGACATTGAGGTCGTTTCACTGTTCTGAAATCTGCTTGGATCTTGAAATCTGTCACTATATCTACTAGTTGCTATTTTTTGATCTTTTGTCTTCAAATTTTGTAGAGTGTTGCTGCTGATGTTTCCATGATTGATGATAATTTGGAGAATGAGCTTCTTGTCCAGCTGGACATGTTGATAGACCCTCCTGCTAAATTAGGATCTATCACAAATAGTAAAGGGAAAGCTGTTGCTAAAGAAGCGAATCCAGATATCGATCTCCCTACCCAGAAGCAGATTAGCTTTGCTATTATGACCCTGCAAGAGCTCCTTGATGGTGATCCTTCTCATTTCTGCAAAGTGCTAGACCAACTAACCGCCTTTGAAACGGCTCAGATCCTTAGTCGAGCTCCACAATTATCTTCTACTCAACAAAAGTTCTAGGCAGATTTCACTACCATTTATACACATTTTAGCAGGAGATTCTAGGTACTTGAGAACAAAGTAGCGGCTATAGAATCTGTGAGAAAATTTGTAGCAGATAGCATTGCTAATGTCTTTAAGAAGAAGGAAGAATTCTTGGCTGTGAAGGTTGCTCATGTCACACAAGTTAAACATCTCAAAGAGCTTAAAGAAGAAATTTCTAATCTTGAAGCCAAGCTTTCAGAGTTAAGAAACTAGGTTCCTCTTGCAGGCAAATTAAGAAGAGTTTGGCAGAACAAAGAAACAAGCTCCGCCCAGACATGGAAGCTAGTTTGAAATCTGCTTCCAAGATCAAGGATCAGCTACCTTCTTTCACAGCTTCTGCAGATAAAGCCGCGGAAGAAATCAAGAACATAAGAGAAGAATGGAGTACTTAGCAAAACAACTTTTGTTGATTTTTCTTTTATGTATCTCCTTTTCTCTTTGTTGGCTGAAATTGCACATTGTCATGTTTGAACTTATTGTTTGTGGCCTATTGGCCACGCAAACTACCTTTTCAATGTTACTCTTTTTCTTGGCTCATATTTTGGAAATCTGCTGCTTGTACTTTTTATTCATACTCTGTTACAAGTTGAAATCTAACATGGCCAAAATCTGGTCGCTGAGGTTGTTCACAGCCAGATTTGGCCTAATTACAAATTCGACTCAGCACTTTTATTGAATGATAAAATGCTAAACAATGAAATAAAATCCTGTACAAATCCTACTCAAATCTGTCTCAGGTAGAACCAATGGTATTCGAACCCCTAGCCTCCCATATCATAGGGTAGTTATTTTTCGAGGATGTAACTCTCCATTTAATGATTCAAGCCAATATGCTCATCCTCTAAGCACTTAATGTATACGAAATGGTCCTTCCCAATTTGGAGACCATTTTCCAAATCTGGGGTCTTTCTTTCCAGGTGGCAAAATTACTTTCCATACCAGATCTCCATCTACCAGACTTCTGGATTTCACCCGTTTGTTGTATGCTCGAGCCACTTTTAATTTTTGCGTTTGTAGCCTATCTAAGGCCGTCAATTACATACCTTCAAGGTCTTCTAACTCTAGAATCATTGCTTCATTATATTCTCCAAAAGTGAGACCATGTTGAATTGCTATACGCAATGATCTAGCCTCTTGATACTTAAAAAAAAAAAAAAAATGTTAGCAGAGAACATGTCACAAAGTTGCAAGCCAAAGCAGACTTACTTCCGGTTCTTCGCTGCTTGAAGGGAGTATTCTCCTCCGTGGAATCTGTAGGAGTGGCAATTTTCCTCTTGACTAGAGTTCTAGGAGCTCTCCTTGGCAAATCTAGCTTGCTAATATGGACAACCATGGCAGATTCCAGGTCACCACCTTCCTCTGCAACATCCTTTTCTTCAAATTTTTTGGTGACTGGAAGAGGAGCCAGAGCAGAAATATTGTCCATAACATCGAGGAACCGAGGATGGAAATAGTCTTGCCACCAACTTCTATAGGAGGGTGTACAACTCGGTCAGAATAGAGGATCTGGCAAGATCATTGTCTGCAATGTTTTTGTGATTTTAGCAAGCTTGGCGATCAAAATGTTTGATTCCCCAATCATAAATCGAAGAGGATAGCTGTGGTTGAAGGAGAACAGTGGCGGGAATGGTATGTCTTGGCAGTATCCAAGCTACCGACAAAATTGGTTCAGTGCATAGAGCTCCACGCCACATCTGGAATTGAGAGTATTCAAACTACAACCAACAAACAAATCCCGGGATGTCACACAAACAGACCAAAATGCTTTAAAGTCTGAAGATTTAAAATCGGCCTTGTACCATAAAGGGCCGTGAGATCTGCTTAGAAACACTGTGAAATCTACATCAAATCTGTCAACAGAAAGAGAAGCAAAAAATCTGAAGCTTGTTCTCTGCGGCATTTTTGAACATAAAGCCATAAGTGAGCAGATTTTGAGCAGGTATAGTAGATGAAACAAGAGCAAGTGCTGGAAAATAAGAGTAAAGCCACAATTGCAGAATCCAAAGCGGCCCACCACTAATGCCTAAGGGATGAGCTGTGACATCTTGGCAACTCCTATATAAATAAGCAAGCAGAAAAAGACCCAAAGCTAATCATCTACCATGTGCTAAAGCAGCAGCAAATGGATAAGTTCTTTAGTAGGGCCTTTACCAGCAGAACAAACCATATATTTGCAAATTAAAGTAAGCAGAAATGAAATGTGCTCTTGAGCATCGACAGGCTTACTTTTGTCGGATAAGAGGGCTTCAAATCTGTGTTGTATTCAACACCTGGTGGCAAAGTTAATAATGCTGAAATCTCTTCTCCTGTGCAAGGCAATCCAGTTAATGAACTAATATCAAACAGGCTCATAGACATGACTCCACAAGGGAAATGAAAGCAATTAAAAGAGCTAGACCAAAACAACAAAGCCGAACTCAAGATTAGTTTGTTCATGGTGAATTTGCATTTGGATAATTGTATGAATTCAAACAAACCCACATCTTTCCAAATTTGGCCAAAAGCAGGTTCAAGGTGATTTATCCAGTCAACCCATTTTGATTTCCTCCAAGTTGGCCAAGTTCCGAAAGGTCCAACCCATTTACTCCAATCGGGTTTTACCTGAAAAGGGAGAGGATGTTCTTTTGGCTGTGGGTAAATGGAGGCAAAAAGAGCTGATGGGTGAGACACAAAGTATGGACCCAAAATCTGGGATTTCTTATGAGGAACAAAAATCTGATTTGAATGGCATGGCTTATGGCGTTGGAGTATTTGGTTTACGCCATCTTGGAGATTTTGGGTTTGGAAGAGCTTAACCAAATATGTAGGAGGCGATTTCAAGAAATGAGTGGCCTTGGAACCGGCCATTGAAGCAGATCCAGCAGATGGCAGCTCTTTGGGATGAGAGGATTTAACGCCAGCCATGGAAGGAGTAGATTCGGTGGGAATGGGTTGTCCTTCTTGGTCACCAGCCATGGAAGCAACTTTTGCAGGAGAAGGTTGTTCGGTGGAATCGCTGGACATGAGCAAAGCAG